CAATCCCCCAGGGAGGCCTATAATCAGTGGCATTGGGTCTTTATGTTCACGAGTAGGTGAGTATATCGACCATTTTTTACAACCTCTCGTCATAAAGACCCCAGCCTATCTGAAGGACACAAAGCAAGTGCTCCAAGATATCAGTAATATTACTACGAATAAAGGCACTTTTTTGGTTATGGCAGACGTAACATCCCTGTACACAAGTATAAAGCATTCTGATGGGATGGAGGCTGTTGATTTAGTTTTAAATAATTGTGATTCTAAGTATATGTCTGATTCACATAAGAACTACATTTTAACTTTATTAGACTTTGCGATGACGAGGAGTTATTTTTGGTTTGGCCACAACTTTTATTTGCAAGAAAAGGGCGTAGCTATGGGGGCAAAGTTTGCCCCCAGCCTAGCAAATTTGTTTATGGCCAGGTGGGAGGAGGATGTCATCTACGCAAGAGACTGACCCGAGCTTTCTTTTTACCGTAGATACATTGATGACATCCTCCTCATATGGAATGGGGACGAACAGGCCCTTTTACATTTTTTTATTACCTTGAATTTTAATTCTTTAAACATTAAGCTCGTGTGTTTGAATATAGTCAAATCAGTGTTAATTTTCTAGATTTGGTGTTAATAAACTATAATGGTAAAATAATGACTGAAAACCTATAGAGTGATAATCTGGTATCACAATGATAAACTGTAGAGGTACGGAATCCCACGGCTTCCACTTTATCAGAGTAACAGAAATGCGCACTCACCGGAAACGCATGGGTTATGCGCATGTGTGATTATGCATCACGGGCAATGGGAACATCAGAATCCAGGCAGCCAGGCGTCTCCCTCACGGTGGGTCATCACAGACTCCTGTAACAGGTTCCGGGGGATCCCCCTTAAGGTAAGCCAGGTGTTCCCTTCTCCAGGAAAAAACCTCCTCTCAGGATGGCAAAAGTGCTTTCTCTATGGGAGTGAAAGCTCAGATAGGAGCCCCAGAAAACAAATGCCCACAAAATAGTGTAGTATGTTCAAAATCTCAGGTTTATTCATCAAAATAGCAGCAGGACAGTAAGCATATGGTACATCATGGTATGTGAAGTACATAGAGTAAACAGATGCAGTACTGACCCCCCAGTGGTGTAAAACGCGGGCCTCCTCGTGGCTCCGGCGGGTATATGACGTCACGCTCTGTACAGTTCCTCCTATATTTATTGAGGAGGAACTGTACAGAGCGCGTGACGTCATATACCCGCCGGAGCCACGAGGAGGCCGGCGTTTTACACCACTGGGGGGGTCAGTACTGCATCTGTTTACTCTATGTACTTCACAATACCATGATGTACCATATGCTTACTGTCCTGCTGCTATTTTGATGAATAAACCTGAGATTTTGAACATACTACACTATTTTGGGCATTTGTTTTCTGGGGCTCCTATCTGGAGCTTTCACTCCCATAGAGAAAGCACTTTTGCCATCCTGAGAGGAGGTTTTTTCCTGGAGAAGGGAAACACCTGGCTTACCCTTAAGGGGATCCCCCGGACCTGTTACAGGAGTCTGTGATGACCCACCGTGAGGGAGACGCCTGGCTGCCTGGATTCTGATGTTCCCATTGCCCGTGATGCATAATCACACATGCGCATAACCCATGCATTTCCGGGTGAGTGCGCATTTCTGTTACTCTGATAAAGTGGAAGCCGTGGGATTCCGTACCTCTACAGTTTTATCATTGTGATACCAGATTATCACTCTATTGACTTTTTATTCTTCTTAGCGCTGCACTTCATTATTTTTTGTTTGAACTGTTTATATTTAAGGCATTATGGTTGCCTAATGTGTTCTAGCTGCTGACATCTTTTAGAGCGCTCACTACTTATTTTATAATGACTGAAACCTATTTCAAACCAACGGATAGCTACGGCTTTATTTCAACAGATAGCTGCCATCATCCGGTTTGGTTACGTAATATACCAAAGGGTCAGTTTTCCAGGATCAAGCGGAATTGCACTAATGTGGAGACCTATTACAAACAGGCCATGATTCTTAGAGATAAATTTGTGGAAAAAGGGTATGATGGCTCCACCCTTGATCAGACCATTGATCTCATAGGAAAATCAGACAGAAATCTGATGTTAAACAACATCCCTAAACAAAAACCAAAACAGATATGTCCTTTTATTACAAATTACTCTCTGCAACACAAAAAGATCACGAGCATTATCAATAAAAGCTGGGGGATTTTGAAATCTGATCCGATATTAAATACACTATTGCCAGAGAAACCGGAATTATTTTTTAGGAAAGTGGCACCACTTAGAAATAAGATCGCCCCCAATATAGTAGATCCACCCAAAAATATAATCATGTTTACCAATTTAAAAGGATTCCACCCCTGCAGAAAATGTGTTATTTGTCGATGCAGTAAACATACCGATAAGAGTAACTGCTTCACATCTACAACGAGGGGGTAAACATTATGACATAGATAATTTTATAACTTGCACAAGCAGATTCGTGGTATATTTGCTCCAATGTCCGTGCAACCTTCAATATGTTGGGCGCACTACTAGGCGCCTCAGAGACAGATTGAAGGAACATGGTAATAATATTAAAAAGGGGTATAAGGACCACTCTTTGTCACAAACATTATAAGATCCATCATAATAGCGATCCCTCGTCACTCAGATTCATGGGCATAGGCATTATAAATGCTCATTGGCGAGGAGGACACAAATAGAAAACGGGCAGTATCGCAGCTCGAATCGCGGTGGATCTATATGAACTTGGTTCTTTATACCCCAGGGGATTGAATATTGATTTCGATCTAAATTGTTTTTTGGACAATAGATAATAAGAGGAGGAAGTATATCAGTGTTTTCATGTTTACAGAGATATATATATGTATATATCTTCTATTTGAGTTTTTCTGAGTATTTTATGAATAAACACCAAACTATTATGAATATAATTTTATATATATGTTACCAACATACATTATTGGGCCAAAGTTTTTGGTGCTACTATTTATTCCTCGTCATCATTTTTAAGGAGTTTTAAGGAGTTTTTTAATGAGCTTTTTAATGGGCTTTTTTGTGATATAATTGATTAAGTATCACATTATTTTTATCATGTGTTTCTATTATGCATTCTGTATTCTGTATTTTGATTGTAGTTTATGACCATATGTTTTCATATATATTTACATATAGTACTCGTTGATTCCAATTTTACGCATATCTTGTACTTTTATCTGACCATATATCTTGTGTGCTATTTATATTTGTATATTCATGGAAATATTTATGTCATTATTAACCCTTTACCTGTTTTGATTCTAAGCAAAACAGGAGTGATTTTATATACTATTATATGAATTAATATATATATATATATTTTAATTAATTTACGCATGTTTTTTAAAACATTTTTTTACTTTTAATTACTTTTAAAAATAACACCCTGTGCACTATATCAGAGCCTACAGGTGTAAGTAATTATCCTCCTGGTCAGTACAGGGGTCCCAAAGGTGCTACAAGAAGGTTCTGCTGAACAACCTGGAACAGTTAATACTATTCCTTCCATCTCCTTATACTGCCAACAAAATGGCGCCACACTGTAGAGGACTTCCTGCTGTGGATCGCATCACGATCCACGACAAAATGGCGCCGATCGTTCGCGCATGCGCAGTAGCTTGGGAAGACGATGCCATGTTCTGCGCATGCGCCGATAGCCGACAAAAATGGCGGGCGCATTAAGCTAAAGTGCCATTTACACATATAAATAGCAGCTAAACAGATGTCCTGGTTGCTGGCCCTGAACCCTATGAATACGTGCATCGCACGAAACGCGTCAGAGGGGCAGCAGCAGCAGGACACCTAACCACCGTTGGTGGACACCTGGGAAACATATGGTCAGTAAACGTTTTGTTTTAAAATCTTTTTATGTACCCCACACCAACCAAGCCTGAATAAAGATATCTGAAGCAGTATCACGCTATGAGGTCTCTTATTGGGCACTCTGTGTGAGTGCTATCATTCGCAGTGCCCATTTGGAGGATTCAGGACCCTGGTGGTGATACCTGGTAGCGGTTTCCGATGACCTTACTTCTGTGGAACTGGGATGGTGATCTGGGGGCAATCTGATCTGGGATCTGATGATCGTTCTATGGCCTGGTGACGCAGGATTACATATTGCGTATGTTAAACGCACATCTGGTGAGTGCGTTTTTTCACCTATTTGTGTGGTTCACACTTATCATCACACCTTGGATAAGGACGTCCACTTACCTGGAATTAGGATCTCTTCATGATCCGCACTATTATATTAAACTTTTTGAATTTACAGATCACCATCGGAGTGATATCACGCATGTGTACAAATTCACATTAATTTATTGTGTGCATAAACTGTGTTTTATTATTTAGCGCTGCACCACTCTATGTGATATATACGTTTTATTGGGGTTTTGTTTGGTTACCTTTTCGGTGTATCAGCTGCTCATCATTTTGTTGTATATACATATTTATATACCTTTTTATTTAAGTAGCGCTCACTATAACACCTTTTACTAAATTTAATCACCACTGTTTTGTTTTTTTTTTTGCTAGACAAACCAAAAACAACTGAAAAGTTTGAAAAAAAAAAAATTTTTTTTTCTAAGTTTCCGTTATAATATTTTGTAAATGATTAATTTTTCTCCTTCACTGATGTGCGCTAATGAGGCTGCAGTGATGGGCACTGATAGGATGCACTGATGAGGAGGCACTGGTAGGTGGCACTGATGGGCATTGATAGGCATCACTGGTGGGCATTGACAGACATCACTGATGGGCACTGAAAGGCAGTACTCGTATATGGCACTGATAAGCGGCACTGACTGGCACTGTTAGGCGGCACTGACTGGAACTGTTAGGCAGCACTGACTGGACCCGTTAGGCAGCACTGACAGGCACTGATAGGCGGCACTGATGGGCACTGATAGACAGCACTGACTGGCACTGATAGGTGGTACTGATTGGCAGCACTCATAGGCAGCATTGACTGGCACTGACTGGCACTGATAGTTGGCACTGAAAGGCAGCTCAGATGGGCACTGATATGTGGCATTGATGTGCACTGGTAGGCACTGATATGTGGCATTGATGTGCACTGATGGGCACTGACAGGTGTTATTGATGGGCACTGACAGGTGGCATTGATGGACACTAACAGGTGGCACTGATGGGGTTGCACTGATCATCATGGCACTGATCATCAATGTCCTGATGATCAGTGTATATATCCCCTCTGAGAAATGCTGATTACCGGTTCTCCTCTCCTCGTGAGCTGTCAGCGTGACAGCTCATGAGGAGAGGAATGCCAATAACCGGCATTTCCTTATTTACATGCCATCAGCTGTGATTGGACACAGCTGATCACATGACAGAGCTGTCATTGGCTCTTTCCACTGATCAGTGATCCGTTGTGTCCCAGGGACACAGTGCACCATCAATCGCCGCCTTGCACGCCCCCAAGCGTACGCACACACATTTAGAGTGGGAGGATGTCATATGACGTCCTCCAAGAATGAGAGAATCACCGCCCATCCGTTATTTCCTTATATGGCGGGCGGGAGGCAGTTAAAGTCAATGATTAGACTGCCCCCTGTATAAACAAATAGCAACTGCCCCAACCTATAACTGGCCTTCATATCAAGGAGCACATGGAAGGGGTGATGCATGTCAAACAACAACAAAAAAAATTCCCAGCTCACTTAGCAGGCAGCCTGCAACAAATACATTTGCAAATATATGCTTAAGCTACAGGGCCACTTCATGGCACAGTCCTAGCTCTACAAATTCTGAGAGCCTCCATAGTGGGAGCACATATATAATAATGGATAGATTAAGGGCAGGAATGCCTGGAGTTAGGACTGCAGTACTTTAGGGTGCTGTGACGCTTACGCCGTACCTGCAGCTTATGCATATATTTTGCAAATGTGTGCAAATGAAACCCCTAGTTTTAACATGAACTGTTAGAACAATTCAATTTGTTGCAGGCTGGCTGGTAAGTGAGCTGGGAATTTTTCATTGCTGTTGTTTGACATGCAGCACCCTTCCATGTACTTCTTACTGCAAAGGCCAGTTATAGGTTGGGGCAGTTGCCATTTGTTTGTACTGTTGGTAAATTGGTTCGGGGGTGCACTGGACACCTTTGCTGCTATTGTGCTGTTTGCTGGGTGTCCAGTGCACCCTGTGCCTTTAAGGAGGGCATCCCTCCCGGCATAGCAGCCCTTAGTATATCCATTATATCCATTATTATATAAGTGCTCCTACTATGGAAGCTCTCAAAATTTATAGTTAGGACTGCAGATAATACTGGGGTGCCATGAAGTGGCCTCTGCAACTTACCCATATACTGTATATGCAAATGTGTGTAAACTAAACCCTTAGTTTTAATGTGAACTGTTAGACAGGACATTTTGGTTTCTTGCAGGCTGGCTGGCAAGTGAGCTGGGAATTTTTCTGTATTGTTATTAGACTGCCCCCTTCCTTTTTCCTGGTGTTATCATTGTTTATTGAGTCACATGTATGTATAATGAGGAAGAAAAAGATCTGGAAGGCAGAAGCCCAGCTTTAATAAGAAAAGTTTGTATTTACATATTCCATTGCATATTCCATTGCATGGGACTCCAGGGCCCCAGGGTCCATGAACATAGGATAATAAGTTAGCATTTTTAAGCATGCATGGATCACTGTTGTTTTTTTATACTTGTGATAATAGCAAGACATAAGACAGAATTTTATGTTTTTGGTATACAAATGTAACAAAATGCAAGAAAACATCTTCCTAAAAACAGATTTTCTACTCTTTTACACCCCCTAAAAAACTATGAACAAGCAAATATAAGTATACTGTCTTTAGCAGATGATTTCTTTTTACATTTTTTTTCTTTTTTTTTTCCTTAATTCATCAATTTGTTTCTCTGTGGAAAGTCCATTAATTGTTACATACCATTTCTCTTATGCAGCGTGGAATATATATGCACCTCATATTTGGATGCAGGCTGCCCTTCCCTGGCATTGATTGAAAAGCAGAAACTGTAAACTAAGGAAATGCCCCAGCAGGACTTCTGAAGTATTATATTAAAATGATGCCAGGGATTTATACCCAGGTGCATTCACTGTATATGTACTACTGCTAAGAAATGCTCTTGAAATGACCGTACAAATGCTGTACGTTAAAATAAACACAAGGTGTATAGCTGGCACCAACAACTGCCGCGGGGTTCCTATAGCATACCTCTCTTAGGTCTTGCTGGAGCCTCCTAAAACAAAGGTGTCAACTTCAGTTTCATTGCAGGCCACATCAGCATTATGGTGAATATATTCTAAGACGAGCGCTGGATCTATGCGAACAAAGCAGCTAGCATGAAAGGTACCAACCCCAAACCTTCTATGTAAAATAAATATAACAACATGCAGCGCTTGAAATAAACATTAGTGATCATATAAAGAATATTTGATAACTTAAACTTATGAATGTATAACGTCTCTTTGAATCGATAAAAAGTCTGTATGTTTAGCTCAAATGAATAAATTGTTAACCAGTATCCTGGAATTAATGGAAATGTGCGACATAAAATAACAGTCTATCCAGAGTATGAATGGGTAATATTGACATACGTGGTGAGATATGGTATAGATGTAGATTGCACTAACCAGATAGCGCATTTAAAGTGCATATGAGTGATGAGAGATATACTCCTGGTCATCGGCATTATAATTGCCTTCAAAGGGCTAGTTGTATTTGTAAGACTGGTTGTCCAGAACACCCAACACCCTCAAATATCAGATGTCAAGGGTCCCCCCCACCATCAGAAGTCAAGAGTCCCTCACCCTCCCTTACATCACAGTGCACCCTCTTACTGGGGGCGGAGCAGGGATGCAGAAAATGCAGGGTCTGGAGGAGGACCAGAAGAAGGCTGAAGCCAGCTGCTGGAGTCTGCTGAATGCTGAGACCAGGGGAGGTGGAAATGAGGGTGTTCTGTGGCTGCACTGAGAGGTGCAGGATCTGTAGAAGATATTCAGTCCTCCTCTCTGCTGCTGACTGCTGAGATAAAGTGGGGTAGGTGACAAGGGGTGTGCTGCAGCTGCAGGAGAGGTGTGAGGGCCACATGAAATGGCCTGGTGGGCCGCATTCGGCCCATGGGCCTTGTGTTTGACACATGTGTCCTGCAAGAATCTCTACCTCCTCTACATGGTAACACCTGATAAACTGATGTCCAGGCCATGCAATGACACATGGTGGTTGGAGGCATGCCTAAGCCTTTCAAATTCCTGTAGGACATTAGTATATACATTTATATGTACTGTATTCCTGTGTTCCTTTTATTTCTAAGGGTCTTCTGGACAGTCCAAAGAGGTCCCCAGTCCTTTCTCTTCTCGTCTGGCATAGTGCAGTGCTTACTGGTGATCTAAACTGAGCCTTTTAAATAGGTACATGACAGCATGGACTAAATCATGAATGCTCAATATGTGGCCCTCCAGGTGTTAAGGAACTACAATCCCATGAGGCATTGCAAGGCTGACAGTTACAAACATGACTCCCAAAGGCAGAGGCATGATGGGATTTGTAGTTCCACAACAGCTGGAGGGCCTGGTTGAGCACCCATAGACTAAATGGAAGTGAGCCTAATGACATTGGCTATCATTCTGCTTAGAACAGTAGCATCATCTAGTGTTAGAAAAGAATTATGATGGGGGTTAGATCAGAAGGGTTAGCTCTGAGTTAAAGCCTACGTGCAACCTAAATGGTTTTTTTTTTTTTTGGAAACTAGTGGAGAGGGAGGAGGGATTAGGGGTACAAAAAGGCATTTAACTTCTTGTTGACTGCAAAATGCTTTTTTTTTTTTGCAGCAGGGAAGGTAGGCCTTTACATCCAGCCACTGCACATACATGTCCATTGGGCTCCAAATTACTGTGCTTAGATCTCCTAGCATTCTTCCAGCACACCGGTCATGCTGTCACTGACTGTTTGTGATCAGTATTTGCAATCAAACTCCCAGTCACATGAACGCTCTGAATGTGAAAAACGCCTTCAGCTTCTTGCAACACTTATTTACTAACACTAAAAGGGCTGTTATCAGGTGGCTGTAAGGGGTTAATGAGAAACTAGCATGGTTTTTGGCCATCTCTATTATTTAGAAAGTTTTTGAAAGTTTGTACATTTCTAAACAAATATATTTACACTTTTTATTATTATTAGTGTTTGTAAACCCTTAAATATATCAAGTGAAGTAACTGGCCTCAGGTGATACACTGAGATGAAGTAAATCCTACTACATAAGTTGTACCTGTTTATTTACAGTATTTTCTACTGTACATCTGTTCAAAGTTCAGAATTTTTAAAGCTTGTCTGAGAGTTCAGGAAAAAGGGGGTGGAGAGCTGAAATTACACTCTGCAGAACTCAGTGAGGAAAGATCTGAGAGCTGATTGGAGGGAAGAGACACGCCCCTTCCACACAGCTCACAGGAACAGAGCTGAGGCTGTCAATCCTCTATCACCATTTTTCTCTCAAAAAATGTTGTCAGAATTGATTCATGCTGATAGCAGATGAATGAAGCAGCAGAAAGGATGACACTTAATGCTCTTAACTGAGAAATGTACACATTAAAGAGGGATATGCTTTGTTCATGGTTTCAGTAGCTCTGAGGAAAGGGATTCGTCCCCGAACCGCGTCAGAAACTGACCACACTGACAGTCGGAACACCTTGCCCGTTGTTGCAGCCATCTCCATTATGCAAAGCTTTATATACATACTATGTCTGTGAGTATGTTTTTGTCTTTTAAACTTTTGAATAAATCTTGGATAATGCACTAGATGTTTGCGCCACCTGTCTGCTCTTCTTCCAGTGGTTGATTTCCCCCATCTGAGGGGGGCTGCATCCCTGAAGCATTATCTTTAGGTCACTCCTGTCCTGGTTCCCTTGGTCTCCCCTTTGGCAATTTATTCCTGGAGCGTTGGAGAGCACACACGGTTATCCTCTTCATGGTTTATGCCTTGGGTTTACAACCACTTTAAGGGCCATGCTGTGCGTTCCTGTGCGATGTAGACCACATGCAAAATGCACTCACTGTTCTGAAGCGGGGGGTCAATAGAAAGCTAACGACACCCCAATTATAGGAAGTGCGTCCCTTCTCTTAATCATTTGGGTATATGGGTCTAATCAGATGTGCTGCTATTCATGTATGCTGTTTAGTCATAAAACAGGCAATTCAGGACTATTCACATCATAGTAACAAGCTATTTCTCTATTGTTGACTGCAAAGGGTAAATATGACATTTCCATATGCAATATTACATACAGTATTTACCTTAAGAGGAACTTGAGTGTAAAAAAGTTTTTCTTTAAATGCAAAAACACAATTCATCCCTTTGAACCAATCTCAATCCATGCCACTGAACCAAACAGTTGTCTCTGTCTGCCCTAAGTTTCTATATTTGAGAGTCAATGGAAACTGTGCCAGTGCCTGCCTACACCATTGCATCTTCATGGATGACAAAGCACAGGAACTACTTGGAAGGAGAAGTGGTCACACACATCATAATGGTTCTCATTCTTCCACATCTACAGTATATGACTTTCAGATCTTTGGGAACAATATAAACAGCAAATGTGTTTTTCTTCTTTATATTCAACAGAACGCATTGCCATCTTTGATGGAGATGCAAATAGTCTTTCATTAGTGTTTAGTGGAGATCTTCTCTAGCTATGATGCCCATTTTGCTGTAGTAGCATTTCAACACGACATTGTAGCTTTTCTGCTGTTCGCAGTTTACATTTAATCTATTGAATCATTTTGTACTGACTGTTTACTATATGAAAGCACCTTATAAAGCCAGAAAAGATTACTGCTTGAGTAATTTGCAATACCGTCACGTAGTTTCACCTTGATATTGTAGCACATAATGTCTTATGGCGCTTGAAGGTGACATGATTTATAGTCTATAGTGACCTTGATAAGTCAAACTATCACTTTGTGCCTCATGTTTCCTGCCACAGTGCTTCTTTATTAAAAACAGTGCATGGACAATCCTGCTTAGATAATCTGTTGGTATATTGTAAACTGTTAACTGCTAAATATCATATTGCTGTTTGGTGATGTATAATATATTTTTATTTATGAAATACTGGGTGCAGGTAAGCTATAACATTATGACCAGCCACCATAATCCATCAAGACATGGACTCCACTAGACCTCTAAACTTATGCTGTTTTACCTGGCACAAAGCCGTCAGTAGCAGATCCTTTCAGTCATGTAAATTGTGAAGTGGGGTCTCAATGGATTGGACTTGTTTCTCCAGCATATTCCACAAATGCTTGCTTGGACTGAGATCTGAAAACTGATTGTGTTCCTCAACCCATTCTTGAATTCCTCAAACCAGGTCACCTTCTTCCATTGCTCCTTGGTCTAGTGCTAATGCTCACGTGCCAACTGTAGGCACTTTTGGCTGTGGAGATGAGTCGGCATGGGCACCCTGAGAGCTGTACACCATTGGCCCTCACCTCAGCCTCACCTTTGGCCCTAATAGGAAACTACAATGGGTTTGCATCAATTGTATTCAATTATTTTGTGTAACCTTTAAAATGATGTTTTATATATACCGTATTTTTCACTCCATAAGACGCGCCTAGGTTTTAGAGGAGAAAAACAAGAAAAAAAATATTCTGAACCAATGGACTGCGGACATAGTACAGGAGATGACCAGAGACTGCGGACATAGTACAGGAGATGACCAGAGACTGCGGACACAGTACAGGAGATGACCAGAGACTGCGGACACAGTACAGGAGATGACCAGAGACTGCGGACACAGTACAGGAGATGACCAGAGACTGCGGACACAGTACAGGAGATGACCAGAGACTGCGGACACAGTACAGGAGATGACCAGAGACTGCGGACACAGTACAGGAGATGACCAGAGACTGCGGACACAGTACAGGAGATGACCAGAGACTGCGGACACAGTACAGGAGATGACCAGAGACTGCGGACACAGTACAGGAGATGACCAGAGACTGCGGACACAGTACAGGAGATGACCAGAGACTGCGGACACAGTACAGGAGATGACCAGAGACTGCGGACACAGTACAGGAGATGACCAGAGACTGCGGACACAGTACAGGAGATGACCAGAGACTGCGGACACAGTACAGGAGATGACCAGAGACTGCGGACACAGTACAGGGGATGACCAGAGACTGCGGACACAGTACAGGGGATGACCAGAGACTGCGGACACAGTACAGGGGATGACCAGAGACTGCGGACACAGTACAGGGGATGACCAGAGACTGCGGACACAGTACAGGGATGACCAGAGACTGCGGACACAGTACAGGGATGACCAGAGACTGCGGACACAGTACAGGGGATGACCAGAGACTGCGGACACAGTACAGGGGATGACCAGAGACTGCGGACACAGTACAGGGGATGACCAGAGACTGCGGACACAGTACAGGGGATGACCAGGAGCAGGGGCGGAATGACCATTTGGAAACTCGGGCACTGCCCGAGGGCCCGGGGTCAGTAGGGGGCCCCATCAGATGCCCCCGGTAACTTTTTCATAGGCTTTTTTGAGTTTGGGCAAGAACACAGGGGCCCCATGATCCCCTATTGCCCGGGGGCCCCATGAGTTGTCAGTCCGCCCCTGACCAGGAGCCTGCAGACATAGTACAGGGGATGACCAGGAACCTGCAGACAGTACAGGGGACGACCAGAGACTGCAGACAGTACATGAGATGACAAAGAGACTGCAGACAGTACAAACTGCCTCTAATTGAAACCTCAGATAAGAGCTGTCTAATTAGGAAGTGTTACTGCTGTGGCTGCTCTGGCACTTTTTTACAACAAAGGAACAAAAAGATACTGTTAAATCTGTAAATTAATCTAAAATTCTACTTGTTGGCTGTTTATAATCTACACAGTAATTTTTTTTTTAAGTTTGGAATTTTGGCACTTATCAAATAAAATAACTTTTGTACAAAATCACTTTGCATTCCCTGACCCATGACCCTAATACACAACTAATATAGTTTTGGATAGAGTAGGGAAGGGTTAGACCCCTTGCTAGGTGTGACAGACCCAACCTGGCCAGGAGATTTTGGAGGAGACTACAGGCTAGCCTCTTGCCTATTGACTATGGGCCTTGGTGTTTGAGGGGGCTCTATTATAGCTGTGCATTGCACCCAAAGACCAGACAACACTAGCTTAGGTGCAACTACAAGCTGTTTATTGAACAGAAATACAGGCTTTTATACACTTCTGAAAAAGAGGGAGTCCCCACATGAACAATAAAGACAAACATCACACATTGGGATAAACATCCACACTGATCAGGTAACGAGTTCATGTTGACACAAGACTCAATTAACTCAATTAAAAATGGGACAAAGACACAATGGTAAACACATTACACCTTAATAAAACTGATTACAGCAAGATACCTCAGCATCAGGTTGTCCTTAGCTTATTATATTAACATCTGCTTAGAGTCTCTAAGTCTAGGAGGGGGATTGAAGCAGTCAATGCTGGTTTGGGCTGGTTTGGGACACCAAATCTGTATTCTAGTCTTCCAGTTGTCAGAGTCTGTGTGTTTTGGGGAGACATGGACTTCAATTCAAAGTAAAACTACTCCAGAAGGTCCCCCAGGCACACACCTCCCAAAGAATACAACCCCCGTGTTGGAACTTTCTGCAATACATAGTTCAAGTTACTCTACCTCTATGTAATTTCTGCTCCACCACATCACTCTGCACCCTGCTCACAAGTCTGGGATGCTGGGTTGGGTTAGTGGTACTTAAGACAAATCTAAGCTTGCACTGTAACTAACCCTGTAAATTAAGCCTTAAAGTGGTTGTAAAGATAAAAGGTTTTTACCTTAATGGTAGAACACCCCCCCCCAATCCCCCCTAAATACTCACCTGAACCCGATCTGGATCCAGTGCTGTGCACATATGCAGGCTCCTCTTCCCTTTTCTGACTCCCCTTTCCCTCTCACAGGCTTGGCTCCTGCTGCTGTCAGTCAAAACCTGTGAGGAGGTAAGTATGTTTGTCAATCAAAACAGAGCAGGTAAGTATGACATGTCCCTTACTTTTAAAAAATAAAAACCAAAGCTTTACAATCACTTTAATACATAGACTGAACCCTATCACTTAATTTCACACTGTGACAGTTAACCTGCACTCTAATACTTAAAGTGATTATAAAGCTTTGATTTTTTATTAATTAAAATAATAAATGTGTCATACTTTAGGAAATGGGGGAGATGTTCTGGCGCACAGTGGTATATAATCTCCAATTCAGAAGAAGGAGAGAGGGGAGGGTTAAAGGAGTATAAATATCACAAATATGCAAGTCTATGAAGGATAATGGATCAGGTGCATATGCTTGGCGCCTCCTGTTCCTCTCTTCTCTCCTAATGTGTCATACTCACCTGCATGTATGTTGAAATGCATTTTTATAACAAAATATGTGAAAATATTTTTAAATATACATTTCAAATATACTGTGTCTTTAAAAATACAAATCTACATTTTTGGAATGCATTTACAAATATATGTTAAAATGAATTTTTTAAAATGATATGTTAAAAAAAATATGTTTTTAAAAAGATTTTTCATATATTTAGTAATATATAAAAAAATGTATTTCAACATGCAGTGTATATATATATATATATATATATATATATATATATATATATATGTTAGTATTTTAAAACACAGAATGGAGCTATATAACCACACCTGTCTTGTGCGAAGTAGTGATTAATGAAAGTATGATTGGTATTTAATACAAAAAAAAAAAGATAAATATAGATAAAAACAAAATAAAAAATAAAATCAACCATCAAATCTTTAAAGGGTAAAGCAAACTAGTAATATTTGATGAAGTACAAATAAAGGACAAGTCTACTTCTAGTAAAGCACGTGCTAGCCCACACTTTAGAGTACGACTCCTATTTATAGCTGAAGATAATGGAAGTTCACTGAGTAGGTATGGTGAGCACCAAAGAAGATTTTTGGCTTGAACCCCACAAATGAATAGGGCTTTGCTGCAACTGCCCCGCAGCTGTGTGTAATGCACTGTGGGCCTCCTCACTGCCTGTCAGACGCACCCTACATCGTGTCTCCTTGAGGACAAGAATTGAAGTAAATGTAAAATATATGAAGCATTATGTATGCTGTCGATGCTATATCAACTCCTGAAATTACATGTATATACGATCATAAAATGCACACTATATATACGTAGCTCTAGAATCTGATGAAGTCCTGGGCGTAAAGCATAAGGTGGAGTTTGGGGCAGAGACCCAGTGAGTAGGGGATTTTCCTTTATCTATTAACCTCCCTGGCGGTAATCCCGAGTGTGGCTTCATTTTCAGTACCAAAAGCGGTAACCCCAAGCCACACTCGGGATTACACTGTAGTGTAATTTACCTTGTCCCTGCGATCCCCTGATGTCCTCCCACTGTGTCCTCCGGCTTATGCCGGTATCCGTCTTCCGGGTTCCCTTCCCTGCGAGCTCCGTGATGCGGCGGCACGGAACCGGCGGGAGATTCAAGAAAGTAAACAAAACATGACATACACACAATACATTGTAATGTTAAGATTACATTATTGTATCAAACCGTTTCACCTCAGTGTTGTCCCTAGTGCTTTGTCCTGTGCCCTACCTGCATTTTTACTGTTCTTTCTGCCTGGAAACTTGAGAACGTCCATGGCTTCCAGAAAGCATCCCTTTAGGACAAAAGCGGGATTAGACCAGCTAGAGAACAGCGATAGTGAATTAGAATCACTTGCAGAATTGAGCGATAGTGATTTGTGGGGAAATTCGTCATCAGACACTGAAAATTATTCTGCGACTGAGCTCAGCGAACTTGGTGCTCTATTGCAAATTTCAGTGTTTTTGGTTTGATTACATTTTTTAATTAAATTTATTATTATTATATTATTTTTTTATAATTTTTTATTATGTTATAATTTATGATTTCGTGTTTCAAACTTTATCATACCCGGGATGTTTACCAGACTCTTGTTTGGACAGATTTAAGTGAGTTATTCCTAAGAATTACAGGCCTACAATACAAAACAACAAATTTCCATGCAAAACAATGTACCAGACTGCCAGGGAGGCAGGGGTGGACTGACAACTCATGGGGCCCCCGGGCAATAGGGGATCATGGGGCCCCTGTGTCCTCGCCCACACCCAAAAAAACCTATGAAAAAGCCATTAAAAAGGTACCAGGGTCAAATGCATTTTGTTGGAATTAATCCTTCATGTTACGATAAATCTGTGTTTGCTCCAAATATGTCTTCGCTCAGTCATGGCTCCAAACCGTGCTTAAAAAACACAAAATATATTCCCTAGTGCAACACCATTTAAATATAGTAAACACTAAGTGAACCAAATGTATGCACTCACATTGAACAAAACACAACGTGCTCCACAAAAAGTGTTTCAGTATTTACTTGTATTCACGTGTTCAATAATCCAAAGTGCTTCCTGTCCTCAACAAGTGTACCATGCACTCACCTTCTTCCATGACCTATATGGAAATGAGGTCATAAACACTTTAACCATTGGTCAATCTCTGCTTATCCACTGCTATCCCTTAGTGGCTATTTCCTTGATACTGGCTCTTTAAGAGACCGGACTCAAAATTCCCACCAGGATGGTATAAACTCAACGGAAAGAGGGACAATTCATAGTGCAACCCCATATAAAAAAATTTGCTTTATTAAGCTAATAAATACACTCACAAGAGTAATATAAATAAAGGCATGAAACTCCAATAACAAAGAACAAAAAAATAACAAAAAAAGCATTGCATACTAGCACATTATGAAAGACTTACCTTAGAATGAAGTCCTCCAGCGGTGTGCTGTCCCCACTGCTAACGGGGCTTCCATCTTCACCCATTTTCCTTTCAGGTTAGCAAACTCTGGACGCTTGATTGGCTGAGCTGCGATGATGTCACTCTTGCACATGTGCATGGGAGTCTTGGCCACAGCACAAAGCTCTGAAGGAACGGCATGGCTCCTTCAGAGCACATGTGTCGGTGACGCCAGCGACCGAACGGACACTGAATACCTCCTAAAAATGTTTAGGAGAGATTCCTTGTACCTACAGGTAAGTTTTATTATAAGCTTACCTATAGGTATAAGTGTCCAGTGGGAGTTTACTTCCATTTTAAATCCTGATGGAAATATCTTTCCTGACCTCCTGCAATTTAAGAGGTCCACCTCTTAAGATGAGCGCAGATCCATTCACACATATGGTAAACGATACACATGGGAAATGTGAATTAACCTTGTGGTGGACTTCTCTGCACATTTTGGTGAAGAATATCACAGGATTGTGTGCTGCATATGCACTTGTATCACTATACATATGTAGCACCCTCCTAGGTAGCTGGGGGGCTAGAGTCAATTGGTAGTTAGGAGGGCTGAGCAGTAGCTGAGGTGTAATAGGTAGCAGAGTCAAATTCAGGTCAGGGCTGAGAGACTCTGCAGAGCAGTTCCTTGATACCTCCCCCGATCTAAGCCTTGGATGAGTCTCTAGAGCTCAGTGGGCAAGGGTGAGAAGGAGAAGGAGTTGGTCTGCACTCTTGAGAATACTGACTAATCTCCAACAGGAGGCTAGGCATGGGGTCAAGACAGCCTTTAACAATGACTGAGCAGCAGCAGAGTTCGGGTGGAAGATGGAGAGGAAGTGAGAGGCTGGAGAGTAGCTGGAAGGGGGGCCCAGATGGGAAGGGGATC